GTTTAAATTAACCAAATATTTGAAAATATTCTTTTAGTAGATTTCCTTTTTGGAAACGTTTGCTTATCTATTTCTTTAAAGGTAATGAAGACGTGTAGAGATACGGCTGCAAGGTTTTAACAATTGACTTTCTTTCAGGGCGTACGGGTTCAAATCTTGTTCCATTTAGTTTATCCTAGTCGAATCATTAGCACTTACATATTAGGTGTGGCTTGTAGCCTGCTATACAAAAATTTGAATTAGCAAGAACAACAGTGGTTTGTGCAGAATAATATGGTACCATCATTCATTTCGTTGGCTTCTCGTCAGCTGCTTACAGCCTAAATAAATTATGAGGTTTATGTACAGAAAAGTTTTAACATACTTGCAAATTTTTCATGATGTCAGTTGACAGAAAGTTCCAAAATTAGTGAACAGTGCTCAGAAAATTACGCTTATATGGTTTTTACACAGGCAGTTCAAGTTTAAACAAAATAAATGTATGCATACAATGGTAAAGGAGTTACGTAATAAAGACGAGAGATGCGTAAGATGCTGGGTGACTAATAAATTAGGTAACAATGTACTGAGTTCAACTCAGATCATAGAAACAAGAGACAAGCAAAATTACACTATATCAAAGGGGGTGAGGTTAAAGCCAAAGATTGCGTAATCAAATGAAAGAAAGAATAAGGACATCCAGTTACCAGGGCAAGGAAAGACTTATAACCGCTTCTTTCTGAACACATAAATCTGGTTTCAAGCGTTTGATAGAAATTGCTTCGGCAAACTTGAGGAGAATCGAATATACAAAAATTACATTTCAGGGTGACTGAGTTCCAATACAGAGACATATTGAACAAACTCTAATGATAGTTTTCTGATGAAGACTTTTGCTGTGAGGCTGATAGATTCAATCAGAGAAGCACATGTAGGTCTGTGCTGCTTTAGTATGGGCGCCTGAAGATATTTACTCCGAAAATTTGATATATGAGTGTATCTCAAATGAAATGTTGAAGTCTTTAAAGTGAAGTTTTGAGCATATCACGTACTATGTGTTTTGTTTTAATATTTGCGAAGAAACCTTTTTACAATCAATGGACAGGAGGATATCAAAATATTTGCGGTCATTTTTTATTTTTATTATTTGCATGACCTTACTGATCGATTATTTACTTTTAGGTCACTACAAAGAGTAATGATTGTCAGAATAGAAAGATACCAAAATTTATCTTGTAAGTTTTCAATAATCTGTGTAACTGTTAAACAAGATATGGTCAAACTGCATACTGCATTCTCAGTACCCAGTAGTGGGAACTTGATTTCACGAGTTCACTTGAGTACCTTTGAAAATAAATTCTCAAGTCATTTCATGATCTAAATTGAAATCTCTCAAATCCGTACATACCAACATTTAAGAATTGTAAGACTTAGTCTACTGATCATTCTCCATGCTAGATAAGTTTATTTGATACAACACACAGTCATACAGTATTGACAATTGGGTGACGTTTCGCCTCTTCCATGTGTATCTAACAATTTAACCGCTCCTGTGGAGTGAGCCAGTTACATAGGCCGTACAATTAGGCGTGTTTCTCGTCGGATTTCCGAACATTACCCTGCGTGGTTAAGTAAAGGACAAACAAAATCTATTCGTACCTATTTATCTCTTGTTGTGGATACAGAACACAAGACTGATGTCAATGTGGCTTTCATTGTCATTTACCGCATACCAACAAATCTTAACTTCGCCTTAAGAGTTCGTTTACTAAATATTGCTGAGGCCATTGGGATCCACATTAAGAAGACTAATTTATGTGTCCAAAAGAAGCTAGTTCAGACATTGTCCTTACCTTGGCCATCTAGGTTTGAATGATTCTCAATTTTTTTGTAGAAATTTCCTTAATTTTAGTTGATATTCTATTTGCTATTATATTTTTGTTTTTATTATTATTTGAGCATCTTTAATGAACTGTAATTCCATTGATCTTACTTTACAACTCGATATTATTTAAAAAACACAAATATTGTTATTGACTACTATTCTAGAATATTCTATGTATATAAGCATATATATAATTGTAGAGCCAGAAGCGGAAATTATCGAAAAGGATATTCTCTGCTCAATTATTTTGTTTTTTATAGATGTCTGAATGAATATTTTCGCCATATTAAATTTATTGATCACCATCATAATCACACTGATATGATTATGAACAGTAAATTGTCTTCGAAACATCATCCACATATTAAAACAGTATCATTGTATTTTTTATCGAATAAACTTGTCTAAAATGGAATTGTATTTTGCCATAATGCCTAAATTCTACACTCAGATTAATTACTGGTAGTTTTATTCTACCCTCTTTTGAGTATTTACTATCAAGTGACATTCTGTTGATTTCTTAACGGTGTCACTCATTTTATATCAACTTCATTGACTTTGAAAAGGTCTTCGACAGTGCTGACCATGAAGTAATTTGGAAACTACTTCAACAATACGCATTGCTCCAAATCTTTACCAACCACATTCAACAGCTATGTAACAATGCCAAATGTCAGTTGATCTACATTGGAAAACTCAACCATAGGAGGCACTGATGAGGTTGTCAAAGTCAGGATGAGAAAAGTATAAGACAGAAGATTAGGATTTTCAACACTAATGTTAAGGTAGTCATTATTTCTACATGGTCCAGAAACTTGGAACACTATAAAGACCATTTCCAACAAGCTTCAGACTTTTAGAAACAGCTCCCTTCACTCCATACTAAAGATTATTTGGTCAGGAAGGATTAGCAACAAGGTACTCTGGGAAATGAAAAACCAGGAACCTGTTTCCCAGCAAATATGTCGAACAAAATGGAGACACATGGAACACACTCTTATTCGACCGTTTGGTGTAGTCATGTGCCATGCTGTCCAGTGGGAGGTGAATGGGAATTGAATAGTTGGGCTTGTGTCCGAGGGTGGTATGTAGGAGGGTATGAGAACTTATGGTCAATCTTGAAACCAGCTAAATATTAATATGTTAGTGTTAATATTAAAGCCAGAGCTCAAGATATTGTCTAGAAGGACGACAAAAGCTCAGAAGTTAAACCAACTGGGTCAGAAAGCACAATCAAATCAAAATCACCCACCTGAGCTACAAATATTTTCTATTATTTCGGACAAAACATTCTTTATTAACGTCATATCTACATTTAGTCATGGTATAAGTAAAGGAGTACCATCTGTTTCATTCTTATGGTGTTCATCATCAAATAAAGCAGAAGAAAAATAATGACATAAGAGTAGGATTTAGGCACTGTGTGTGACTGTAATCTCACCAACCAATAATTTCATTTGTTAAAACATACAGTGATACAGTATTATCTATTTAATGATGTTTCGAGTATAATTTATTGCTCATCGCTAAATAAATAATACTTTGTATCACTCTGTGTTTTATCAATAAAAAAGTTATTCTAATATGTGTAGAAGGAGAGAAAACAACTTTATGGGAAATATCTGATAAATACTTTGAGTAATAAGAATTTAGCATTACAATGATAAGATAAAGGTTCCTCTCTCTTGTGAACTAGTGTAATAAAGAAGTAAGAGGGAAGAATAAAAATGTGGCATAAGTTATATTCTGGATTTCGGTTTTTACATATGCACATACTAATTAGTGTTATTATTTCCACTAAGTAGAGGTTTTATTTCACTTCCAATCTAATTGACTCTTGACAAATGATCTCCAACTTTGTGGGGACTTGAAGAAGCGAAAGTATGAAGTAAAAGTGGATAACAAATAAAGTAGACAAGAGTTTTGAAAAAAAGTTTTAGTTTTATTCGAAGACAGCAGTTCAAGTGGAAATAGAGAGGAAAGAGGTGATGAAGATATCTAATCGACAAAAACGAACATCAATCCCTATCAATAGGAGAAATCTAAAGAAAGTTACTTCTTTCACTTACCTGGTTGTTCAGCATCGTTCCAACTAAAGTGAAAGGTAGCCAAGATCGGAAGAGCAAGAAAGTCTTTCATGATTCTTGAGTTGGTTTGGAAATCTCCTGCATTCACAATAAGGAATAATATTTGGATTTTCAACACTAATGTCAAGTCATTGCTTATGTGTGGTTCATAGATGTGCAGTACAAGTCACCAAAAGCATTTTGAAGGGGTCACTGCAGACTCCAATCAACAGCTGCCTTCCTCCCTTCGCTCGATAATGAAGACCAGATGATGGGACACGGTAAGCAGGCAACAAGGAACTCTGGGAATGAACCATCCAAGAACATATTGTCCAACAAATATGCAGGAGGAAATAGAGATGGATGGGATACACGCTTAGGAGATCGTTGGGTGAGTGTCACGCCCTGGAGTGGAACGCAAATGGGAAACGACTAGTTGGGCGTTGTTCCTAGGCTGACATGGATGTGATCATGTGAAGAGGAGATAAAGGCTTACGGACAATTGTGAGGAAAGCTTAAGGTGACTACAGAAACCTGGATGGAATGGAAATGTGTTGTTGAAGCCGTATGTTCCACCTGGAGCCAAAACGAATAATAGTAATGAGTAATAAATTTATTCTCTAAAATGATAAAGTCATCCGAATTGGAACATCACTTTGTCGGATGAAGAACAGAAATAGAATTGGTTACTTCAAAAGAAGTAACTTTCTATAGGTTATACGAATCCGCATGACTATCAGTCTTCAGAAAATTTGAATGAAACTTAGCTCTTTTACAACTTAGTAAATACTAACTACTTATATATTTTTCAGTCTAGTATTTTTAGTGTTCCCTTTAACTTTTATTTGAGCCCATTTATTACTTATATATTCATCATTCAGTATTATCAAAATCAGAATAATTTAAATTGATGTGAGTGGATTTAACTAATCAAATTCTTGTCTATCTAAGCAATCGTCTATTAGCCAAAATTTCGCATTTAGCCTCTCTCTGTCTACAGTAAAGTTTCTAAAAATTCGCCCAGTGTCTGTACTGAATAACGCAGATGACATTTTCAATAATTTATTAAAATGACATTTTTAATTCGTTTATGGTTTTGCATTTCTTTAGATCTAAAGGGACCAACAGAAGAAAGTATAACGTTAAATCATCAGAAATTTCTGCTAGTGAAAATGCGTCGATTTTGAAGAGTCAGTTTTTATTTTCATTATTATCATCTCGACATACTCATTAAGTGTCTTTGTTTGAAAACGCTTTCGTTTGTGTACACTGTATAGAAGTTTGAGGATAGAACTAGAAATCTCCATTGGCGATAAATTAGCGGTGATTATACAGAGTCATTTTTCATCATTTATCACATCTATTATACATCAACATTAATTTTATCTAATACATTTAGTGAATTGATAGAAAATCGTCAATTTTTTAATGTTCTGTCTGGAAGATAAGTGCTGTTTAAATAATTGAGAAAAATGCGCTGACAGATAATAAGTGCGTGGTAAATGTTCTCCAACCACACACGTAGTTCGTGTCCGATTCCCGGCTAACTCACTCCTAAACCTCACTCAGTTTACCAATTTGTAGTGAGCCTGGAAGAGATGGCTGGCAACCCCTAAAAAGATATGTAATGAAACTACAATAGACAGAAATGGACGTAAAAGAGAATAATTTAATGAAGACTAGTGGATATTTTTAGAATCCGGCAGGTGATGAGAAGTGAATGTATCTTTCATAATTGGGAACAGTTACTATTCATATCACTAAGGGTCTTTAAAAAAAGATTCTTGCCATCCATATAACTTCAGCAAAGCAGCCTACATCGATGTACTTAAATCTGACTAACTTATAAATCTTAAAGACGGGTGATACGTTTCCGTATGATCACTCTCGACTCTTTCTCAACCTAGTCATGTTTTAGCTAACAATAATTCTCAATGACTGCATGACTTGGTATTCGTAACACATATCCCAGCCGTCGCCATCTATGGAGGTTCGCCACTTCGTCATCTGACCTTCGTTTCTTCCCCACCAATCTCTGCCTAACCACCATGTCACTCGTTCTGATATGAACGGCTGTAGGAAGAAATTCTCCTATGTTGTCTTCAACCGATAGTGCATAACAGTGGTAAAATAGGACCAAGTCAGTTGTTTGGCAGCCCGCCAGTCGTTTATTGAATAGCTGGATATCACTTTAGCTCCGACTATGATGCCAGTTGGTAAGTGAGTTTTTATATCTGCTCCGAGATTTATTCAGCAACTCATTCATTAGAATCAAAACAACATTCAAAATGAGAGAGGTACTCAACATTTTCATCTGTTTCATTCTATACCGTCGAACAAGAAGTCAGTGCATTGGTAAAGAGCATGCTAAACATTCTGCTAGTTATGCTTAGGATGTTTCAAATACAATACATTCTACCGAATTTTTGACTTAGAAGGAATGTATCATTTATGTACTCTAAGTTAACATAGCTTTCCAAGCACCGCATTAATCTCGGAGAAATCAAGCAAAGTTTATGTTTACGTCCTTTAAAGCGAAAAAAAATTAAAATTGATGGCCATGTAGCTTGGTAAACGTGTGACGAGTGTGAAAGGATAATTAAATTAAAATAGGAATTGCAGGTACGTTTGACCATAGAAGATAACATTTATGCATAAACAACGCAGTCAGGACTACGTTTCTCTCTTTCACACCTGACTTAGTAAAAAAAGAATACGACACTTGGCAAATTAATTTACAGAAAGCGTATTTTAACGAATAATGAATGCAAAAGTCACAGTTTTTCATCAATTGTTAACATCCTGAAGTTGGTAAGGTTACAATAACACCCTTTAACACTGTTTGAATGAGAACAGAAATTCATAAATTTTAATACACCATTTGGTTAAGATGTTTTATTTACAGTTCATGATCAGCTACCATTACTGGTGAATTGTCATCCTTATAGTTTCCTTAACTAACGAACTGGCAATGTCTCTTCACAACTCATTGAAACACGTCAGCAAGCTAGTCATTATTGAAAAGGGAACTGGAGGATTCGATTAATTTCGTAGTAAATTTCATTATGCATTGAAATCAGATGGGGAACTAAAGAAAGGAAAAAAGTACTTCATTCTATTTCGAGACTACATGACAGTACTAAATCACAATCCCTCAAGAGATTAAGTGTGGGGTCCTCAGGATCCATTGACTATCGGATGCAATTAACGGGGCTACTGATTTTTAGCTTCTCTTAACGCTATGGTTCTTTGTTACTGCTTTTTGTTCATTGTTTGTCCTGTAATGATAAAAACCCACGTCATAAATCTAGAAGTCATTCTTATGTTTTCTTGAATTTTTTTTAGCCAGTGAAAGCTATGCAAAGACAAAGTCATTAACTGATTCGCATATAAGGTTATCAAAATTTCGTTTCGATTTCTTAAATATTCCTACACTTGTCAGTGGAAAGAAGCATTTTGACCAGCATTTGATACAAACATCGGATGAAATCCATGAAACTCACAGGTCACAACAGGTAAATTATGTCAGTGAACTCCATAAATATCTTTTTGGTCAGCTGAAAACAATTATCATTTTTTCATCATGAAGTAAAATTGGCTGGAGAGCCATTTGAAAACCTGGGAGAATTGGACAATTCCTTCGTCCTAGTTTGGGACTCTTCATCAATGCACTCCCATAGGGGGTTCGAACCCAGGACCTCCAGGTTACAAGTCGAACTCACAGGAAGGTAAACCACTGATGAAGAGCCCCAAGCTAGGACGAAACAGTTGTCCAGTACTCCCAGGTTTTCCAGTACTTCTCTATCCGATGTCAGTTCATCATGAAATCCTGTAACCAATCAAATCCCCGTAAACCAACACTTGAATTATAATTTTATTGTGAGACGGTTTTCTGTTGAAAAAAATAAGAATTACTCGTGAACTGAGACAATGGTTTGTATAACTTAATTGTAACATAACATACTATAAGTTGTATTGTCTAGATAAAATTAGTATCAGAAAATCTAAGATAAAGATGCCATGTCAATTGATAAATTCTCCTGCGTAAAAATTTAATGGGTTATACAGCTGTCATCACCCTTATTCGTTGTGAATAAAATAAGGACTGCAAGGAGAATTTCACTTGCCAGGCTAATATCTGCAGATAAATTCTTAAATTAGTATACTACAATCACTGCATTTGTAAACTCTGTGAAGTTTTATGTTGATTTTAATGCCTGTTGGCGTCAGCGATGTTTCATGTAAAGATACGTGACAGATAGAACCACCAAGAAAATGAATTTATTCGTAGGAATAACCAATCAAAATGGAATGGCGGTTATTTTTGCTTTTACGCGTACGACGTTAATTTCTCAAAGGCATTTATTGAATAAAACGAATGACAAAAACAACTTTTCTAAATATTCGAACTACTAAACAGTAGTCTAATTTGTTGAGCTAAATTGTGGGATGAAATATCGGATTTTTTTAAGACATGAGAAATATCTTTCGTTTGGATACTTATAATCTCCTAAACTACACTTAAAGTTACAAAAAACCTTAGGATTCCCGGATAATCTATTAATCTAACTCAGCAACAGTAAAGACACATCATAGGACTGGTAGATAAAAAGTTTACGAGTTTACTCAATGTAACAGTCTTTGTGAAATCGTTTTCTATTGATTTCAGTGCAAGTCTGATAAGGCTGATGTACAAAAATCCACTGTCAACCTGAAAAAGAATTTGTATGACCACCTTTTCGATGAAGCAGTTATGAAAGCTGAGCTGAAAAATGCTTGTAAGTTTCAGTCGATATGCTTTTCATCTAAATTATTGCCATAAGTTTTTGAGACAAGTCATTTCTTGTACCAGTAAAGACAGCTGAAGAGACTAAAATCAATTTTAATCTTGTCGCTTGTATAAGCAGTTTCAATGTTTCTGATAAAATATAATGGGCGTTTTTCATTATTTGCTAATAACTCTGAATGTTCACGAAATGAATGATTTTGCTTTTTATAAGGTATATATTGATAATAAATCGATTAGCTGCCTTATTTTCTGACAAAATATAATAGTTCCTTGAATCCATAATTGATTTTGAAATAATGTTCTTCTATCGAAATATAGGCAATAGAAACTATGCCTGACTTCAAAATTCTCTAGCGTGTTTTGTATTACATAATATGGAAAAAAGCCTTTTGAATTCAGATATTTGGGACAGCTTTAATGAGTCACCATGAAGTCCATGAAACCTAGCCCACTTACTTATACCGCCCACAATTTCTGACGCCAAAAAACTTCTCTACCTGAATCTAAAATTCAGTGGGGACTCATCAACAGAAATACTGAGAAACCGCCTGTCCCGCTCACTGAACAAAACCTTCACTGCTGAACTCTAACTAACCTTCTCTACGAAACCAATGATTTGCATGAACGTGAAGGGTAAGCTACCACTGTTGGTCTCATCAGTGTGTATCTATGAATTCACCTGCTCGTCTGGAGCTACGTATGTCGGCCATATATGGCGTTTGCTATCCAAACGTATCATTGAACACTTACCCACAGTCATGGTTTATTAAAGGAGAAAAAGGGTTCTCCTGAAGCTCTATTTTGGAACACCTGATCGAATCTGTACACCAAGCAAACCCACAAAATAACTTCAAAGTCATCTACAGAATACGTGGAAATCTTGCTTAAAGAGTACGAATCAAACTTCTTCAAACCGCAGAAGCAATGGCGATTCACATGTTAAATTCTAAACTCTGTATACAAAAGAAGTTTGTTCAGTCATTAAATCTACAATTGACCTGATCTGTCTTGACACCAAATACGTAATTTTTGTCTCGTCTTTTTCTTGCTTTTTCAAGAGTTGATTTGTAAGGACTGGATTTGGTTTTCAAGTTTGACCGCGGACTGATATCAGCTAGAGAACCATTGAAAACCAGAAAGTACTGAATAGGTGTGTCATCCTAATTTAGGAATAATCGGCAGTACGCTTGTTTGTTTCTTAATTGTATTATTTTCTTCCCCCACCACTTATTAAATCTCTACTCCTTATTAACACTGTTGTTAACTTGACTTTTATTCAATTTTAATTCTAGTTGAGCTCTACTCAACTTAGATTAGGTTATCCATAATTTCACACTATGCAAATAAAACCTTTTTACTGTCCTGTAAATTTCAATAAACTGATGTAGTCCCCGTCGTATTTATCTCACGAATCTTCATTTGAAGTTGTGAAAAAAAACAACATAAAGAGATTGTGATTAGGTAGTTAGTAAATCTGGCATTATTGTTGAACTCCATGCGCCGATAACTCGGAATGAAAATATGGATTTGCAAACGCAAAAGAAATAGCCAAACCAAAAGATTAAATTGTTCCAAACAGAGATGCATTAAAAAAACACTGCAACTGAACTGTATTTGTGAAATACAACAAGTAATTATATTACCAACTCTTGGTTTTTCGGTTAACCATCATCCAAACATAGAGAATGTGATGGCTGAACAAAATATCTGGAGGTCTACAAAGATGTGAGTTCAAACAAGTTATGCACAAAAGCCCAAGATGAGCAACAGGATTGTCTAACCTACATAAAAATTAAAAAAGTGTATAAAGTATAACACTAGTATTTGGCAAAATGATTCTAGATGTAAAAATTACAGTGAATTAAAAGTAATCTGTGATAAAGGGAATTTATTCAGGCTTTTGGTCTGTAATCATTACAATTGTTTTATCTAATTGATTGACCGGTATTAAAAATTTAGCAGGTAACTGGTTAAGAGATCAAATATGATTTTAAAAAACACGGAAGAATGGTTTGAGCAAATGTGTAAAAGTCAAAAACACTTTTGATTTTGAGTACAAAAAGGTATTACCTGGCGGTTTGTTATCGAGATGCACTAAATGAGTTTTACATTATAATTTTTTCATTCCTTTGTATTTCGAGCAGAACAAATGGCTTCAAGCTTGAGTTCTGAAGTCTCAGCAGAAATGTTGTTATTTTACAGGTGACGTCGCACCCTACTTTCCATCTTTATTGAGCCTACAGTTAGCTAAGCAAAGTTTAGAAGCGTGTCAGTCAGGAATCGAACCCGGGCCACGTACATGGTTGGGGAGCAGTCTACCGTCGATCCACTAACGCATCATTATCCTTCAGCCTGATAGACATTCATTTAAACAGACAGATTAAATTATTGATTGCTGACTTTATAGAGTCATTTTTGCAGATTTGAGGATAACTTTGAACTAGGAAAACATTTACTAACTGATTTATAATACTGCGTATATTGGAGATTTATTCAAATACACTGGGACAATTTTGTTTAAGTTCCAGTTCAGTCACCATTTCGAATATCTGGATCAAGTATTAAATACTAAGCATCCTAATGTCTTCCCTTTTCATCTTTTGGAAACCTTTTATTATTATTTAATCAGGGCAAATTCTGATGTCGTATCAGTTTAAAGATAATTATTTTAGTGAAGTTCTTTTATGCGTGAAAGACCACACTCATATCATTTTATAGTCAGCTAATTTGAAAGTTAAATTATGTGAAGATCTGTTACCGATGTTTTATTATCTGTTCAGATTAGTATTGTCGATTATTATTTTTCTAAGGATATTTTTACAAAGTGATCGCTGATCCATTGACATTTCTGTTGACTTTGAGTAACTGTATTTGGTAGTCTAGCAGGAGAAAAGGTTAAAAAGAACTGAACTTTAGGAGTGTTTTCAGTGAGGACATTGACTGGGATGGTGCTTCAAGGGTAGAACGCTTCATGATTTACGCACTGCTAGACCTCCTCCAGCCAGCAGTGGGCTCAGAAAAGAGGGAGAGTTGGAGGTGAGGTTTGCAACCCCACCCCGTAAAGACAACATCACCGCTACTAAAGCTTCAAAACTTGAAGCCCTGTGTTCCACTTGGAACTCAATGGAATTCAAAAATGCTTTATAAATTAAATAAACTCCACTAGGAGTTATCGGTTCTGTATCTTTTAAAGTACATAAATATATTTGATTTTGTCCTTTTTTATGAGGTTCTTAATAGTTGTATCGGAATATCTAGACAATGTACTTGTATTTGGTGAATTAAGGAGGGAGTATCTATGAGTGTGGTATGGTAAAGCAACCAATAACAGATCCCATTTCCATATCGTAAAACCATTTCTTTAAGTCGATTGCAACAAAGGTCTTTGCTTTTCTGGTTTATCTGTGTTTCCTTTTACAGTATTTCTATGGGCAAAGGAATGTGAGGTTGAAATTTTAAAGTTACCATTAAATAAGATTGACCACATTTTAAACTGTTCAAATACAATTGAAAATAAAGTTCAGTTACAAGCAATTGTCTCTATTGGTCTTTTTGAAAGCAAATTAGAAAGTAAGTATTACTCAATACTTCGTTGGTTTTCTATCTAGTTGTACGATTTTAAAAAAATGTGTCTAAAGTATTTTTCACTATTCTAATTAGCCTGCTGTTTTATGTAGTCAGTCCAGGTTATGTAGCAAGTAAAAGTACAAATGTGAAAGTACGCTGTTCAGGTAATAATTACAATACTTAGGTGCCTAACTGGATTTAATCTGGCTATATACTACTAACTGATTGATATAAGTAGTTGGTTAGCACACACATCAACCAGTAGTACTTGCTAGCCAGATCGAAGTGATGAGATGAGATTTCACCTCGACCTTTGTAAATTGCAAATCACGAATTTGCATTTAATCTTCAAGGTTTGTAAATATGACTTTATGAGTATATTTCTTTCAATTTTGCTTTGTTGGCACACTAAAATTAATGCTACATCAGATTAGATGGTGTTTGTCAATCAAATAAATGAACTGAAAAGATAAATAGCGCATAACTGCAAATATTTCAGTGAAAAAGTACCGGTGCATACCATTCGAGAAGTAAATTTCTAAGCGTAAAATTGGTCATAGTATGTGCAGATGATAATTTTGAGGTATCTATAAACTGAAATTATTTTGATTCAGATCACTCTAAATGAATCAGGTTATTTGGGCGTAGCGAAGAACAAAGGGAGAGAAAGAGAGCTGAAGTTATGCACTACTGAGCAGTGTGGCACTGTCATATTATCTTTGTAATTGTTTTTCTGCTCAAAAGCATTCGCTTGAACTGCAAAACTGTTTATCATTGCGAGCATATCCTATTCTAATTACGATTAAGAGATTATTCAAAAAATTAAATTCAAATAATAAAGGTGAAATATCTACGAAATTCTCCATGACGTTGCTTTTTTTCGGTACACTGATTACAATGAACCTAATTAAATTTGGTGGAATAATTTTGTTTTATACTGCCTCGGTACAAAATGAGAAGTTTTATATTAAGTATAAGCAGTGTCATTTTGTTAGATGATGATTTTTGTACTTAAAATTTGATTGTTCAGCATCTTAATTTTTAGAAGAATACATGTAAGCGACCCATATTGTTTTCAGTTAGATCTCATCGCCCTTCGTTTACTTCCACTTGTGAAGAGAAGCAGGATAATACACAGCATTTTCTGGATGTCATGCTAAGTAGGCGAGAAAATGGGTCACTTTTAAGAAACATCTATATGGAAAGCACATTCACAGGGCAATACAAGCGCTTAGTTATGTGTCCATTGAATATAAAAGAAATATTGTCAAGTATCTTACGAGCACGGCAAGAAAGATATATACGGAAGATCACTTACAAAAGGAATTTGAAAATATTCATGATTGTTTGACGCAGATGGGTAGTTTCCTAAAGAAACATACGAAAACTTTAGATGGGAAACGTGAGACGTTGACAGCATGGAAGAAACCATAATTTATTTAGTTACAATTTAATGGGGACTTCTTAAGTGAGATTTTGTTCTGGGGACTAGCTAGAGGTATACGGAGAACACCTTACGTAGCAAACCTGTGTTTGTAATTTTCTAGTTGACGAATGACTGGAACTCAAAAGAAGGATAAGCTGGATGGTTTCGCCACATCTATGTGTATTTATCAGTTCAGTTGCTCTTGTGGAGCCAGTTATGTTGGGTGTAATACTGGATAGTAGATAGTTGGAGGCAATCGGCAGGAAGCCTAGTCAAACCTAGGTTTTGTGCCAGTTGACATTCGTCAGCAAGGCGTATCTGCAACCTTGAAGGAACTCATGTACCTCCTTCTGAGATTCGAACCCGCGTCACCCAGTGCTGTAGTCAGAGACGTTACCATTGAGCCATTTGGGCTCGCCCATTGCCTCCAACTATCTAATATCATTAAATCAATGTGCACCGTGATGGCGAGCTACCTAGAATGATGGCCACATTGCAAACCTGACTGATAGAATTCAGTCTGCACTAAAGAAAGGACTAGACACGTCACACTAGTTACTAGTGTCCAATCAAAATACTTCTGGATAGTTTGACCAGAGTGTTAGTGAACATCTCGCACTGTCGTTTGGTAAAGCCCAGACAAAAATCATCCCAGGCCCCGTTTTGTCACTTGTTGATAGTGTTCATTTAGTGGAAAAAATGAAAGCATTCCAGGTGATTCATCAAATCTACCGAATGTTTCCAACGGACTTCATATTCGTCTAATGAATATTGCTGAGGGGATAGGCATTCGAACTATTAAACCTAAACTATGTACTCAGAAGAAGCTCGTATTGCCCCTATCTCTCCCTTGGCCAGTTAAGATCTAACCAACTAACGATATTACCAACCCCCTCCTTATGTATAGTTATTATTATTGCTATCATGACTAACTTAACGATCTGTATGCAACCTTAACAATCTTATCATCCTATCAGCAGATCACCATGATAGGTTGTATTTATTATTTATTTGTAAAGCTATGTATATTGGAGTAGAGCCTGATCAGATCTAACTGAAAATAATATTTCTGGTTAACAAGTGTCGTTCTAAATTTTACTGTGACAATTTTTAATATTTGAATTATTTTGTTTTCTAACAGGCAATGAAGTAGACAGCCTCCGTGACTGCCTTCTACACAAAAGTGCAGATATTATTCTAGCCATTTGTTTATGCCTTACCATAATGGGTTATTCAGATCCAAAATGTATTGAAAAACTGTATGAATTAATAACTCTATGTCAAAATCCAACAAAGACTGATGAAGCGTACACTAGCGACTCACTAACAATTTCATATACATCGTTAAATCTAATGAAATGGGCAGCTGCAATGTGCTTAGCTAAATTAAATCAATGTAATCTAGAAATACTCAACATTTTAACCATACCACTATTTGACCAGTTAGTTCATTTCATTCCTGAGCAATATCCGAAAAGCCGTTTTAAAATACAAACACAGGAATCTGATCATCCTATGAAAAAATCAGTAGATTTAAAGGAAAAACGAACTCACTCTTTTGTTTCAAATCTTTCCAATATGATCAAATTTGACTTAAATAAAAGAAATACTTTTTTAAATGCAATTGTTTTCTATTCTGAAGTCAAAATGGTTTTACGTCTTAGCAGAGATCATGTGAGTTGGTTTATTATATATATATATATATATATATATATATAAATTCATTATATTTTATCCCTTTTCTTTCCCAGTGTAATATATAGTTTCCAGCTTTGAGATTTGATGTCTAGGTGGCAGTGGTGTTATTCCTTTTTTACAAGGTGAGGTTTCTAGTCTCAAGCTCATCTGTCCCTCTTTACCTGCCTTATCACCGGCTGAGGTTTAGGAGTGCGTCAGCCAGGGATTGGATCTCGAACCATGTTGATGTTTGGCGTTCATTGTACCCCTGAAACACCGAGCCGCATTTATTACATCTTATCATTCTTTATAATAAGTATAATTTTGTAAAGTAAGAACAATTAACATTATGGGATGAATTGAATCAAATTGAATTTTGTGCTCTGAATGTTTGACAAATGCGCTAAATTGAGAATTCGTGTACTATTTAGTGCTTTGAGATGTCACGGTCAAATTCAAAGAAAGTTGATATAGCTCAGTGATAGAATCAACACAGGATAAGCGTTTTCACATCTAAACAAATTTTATATATATATTCACATTGCACAAATTTTCAGTTTAGTGACTTTGTAGAGCGAACTAATTATATGAAATAGATATACTTATTTAAATATTAAGGAAGTTCTCTGTTTAGTTTTTGCAATACAAACACTCACCTATGACATTCGCCAGTGTTCGCACCAATTCGTGAATTGGCAGAAGTTGGAATCCATGGACTGGCCACTGGATCGGGTTCCAGTGGCTTAATGGTCTACGAGCTCGCCTTGTAACCGGAAGATCCTGGCTTTGAACCCTGCCGGTGGGTGCGTACTTCTGGAGAGTCCCAAGGCTATGACGAAACAGCCGTCCAGTACTCTCTGGTATTCCAGTGGTTCTCTAACCGATGCCTATTCATGACGAAATCCTGAAACCAATCAAATCTCTGCAAACAAACACTTGAATATTAATTTTCAAATAATTATTTGACCACGTAGCTTGATGTGATACAACTCCCAGTGATGCAGGCAAAAATACGCCCTTGAGTATGATAACCAAGAATATGATTTCTACATAAAATTCCTCCCCACTCTGTAAATTCTTCACAGAATCTGTATAGATTGAGGTGTAGTAAGACACTATTTTAAGTCATTACCCGATTAAATGGCTGACGGAAAAACGTGGCACACAACATGGAAGTGAGTTATTAATTAAACAGGCTTTTTAAAACGTGTTTCATTAATAAACTTTTTGAGTTAGGGGATAATGCCAGATTGCAGCCAGATGTAGCCAATGTTTTAGTTTCCTGTAATTTGACAGTTTCTTGCATTTTTTAGCCTTCATTTTGTAGATTAGATTATGAATGATAAGTAACCTAGTTATTCTGATATGCACATATTTGAGAATTTGTTTTATAGCTTGAATTAGTAGAATTTCTTCTTATCGTATCTGTATAGTCAAGAAACATGTCATGATTTGTGTGCAAAAATACTTTTAGATCTGAGTGATAAATTCATCCAATACTTAAACGTCAATCGGTTTTCCTCTTTTAAGCGTAAACTGTCTATAAGATTAGTTTGTCTCAATAATTTATTGTTTACTAAAATAGGAGGTTACAATTTATTTGCAATTCTTAACATTCCTTTCTTATAATGATAACAGTATGAAGTCTCTGACATTCCTGCTTAGCCTTGTCGTAAATACCGTTGATATTACTTCTCTTGTGCCGACATATGAGTGGACACTTACAATAATAGCACTCACGGTCCATCAGGATGACCTCAAAGGAAGTTCTCCATTTCCACGGCTTTCTTAAAGAGAAATTTCCATTATTTTGTATATATTAGTCATTTCACTATTTACAGTCGTATGACATATTATGAATCTTACAGATGTGTCAAATATCCAGGGAGTTTTTCTCCATTTCAGGGGACTTAAAGATGTGAGTACAACAAGTACTAGGTTTTAGTTGCCTTATAAACAGATATCTTTACTAGAGGTTAATTGGTAGATGGTGACTAGCAGTGGAATCCAGGATGCGCATTTCGTCCTATTTAGGACTCGTCATTGGATGTACCTGCATTCAGCAGTAAGGGATGATGTTCCCACTGAGGCTTGAACCATCCACCAATTAACCTCTAATTACATGCCCAGCCATCGTCGAAGCATCTGCACAAGAAGCCGACATGTCAACCTGAGACCGAGCACTTCAATTCCAATCAATCGACGAGAAAATCTAAAATTCAGTTAAAAAGATATCTTCACTACTTTACTGAAAATATGATAGCTCAATTGCTGTGCCAAAGTTTCACGAATACTATATGAACTGTGTCGGATTAAAGATAACTTCATTGAGCTCTACTCTACTGAATGCAACAACTAAAGAGGTTTTTGTTGGGATAAAAGTGATAGTAAACACTTTAAAAAAATAACCTAATTTATAATGAATGTACTTGTTTTCATAATTAAGTGAAAATTCAAAAGATAAATTGAAAATTCAATCAAAATTCCTTTCTTTGTTGTTTATTTTGACAGTCAGAAGTTGAGGACTACTTGACTGAATTGTTAACTTCTCCCAATTGGAGAATAAGACTGTGTTCGTGTTGGCTTTTGTCCGTTATATTATGCAAATTGAGTAAGGTAAGTTGTACTGTCTAGCTTAGTGGCTAAGTTACAGTGAACCAACGTTTGTAATAAGCAAATAAACTCTAGTAAAAGTGGTGAACTGTTTTAGTTCATACAGCCACTAAATGTCTGTATGATGCATTCTTTGTTACTATTTCTTTCAATGTGCTGAACTAAGTTTACACCGATGATCAACCTTAGGAGGTGAAACTACATGGAAAAAATAATTTATATAACCTATAGTGAAAAACTATGAATTCATCTGAAGTAGTAATGAAGGTGAGCTTGTGGCTGAAATAGTGAACTATGCCAATAAAATCTAAGGAGCTCACAGACTAAAAAGGCCCTCCATGATGCAAACTGAATATATTGACTGTTGTGTAGTCCCTCTTATTCAAGATTGTTTTCCTATATAGACGGTTTATCATGGGAGTAACAATCTTATCATGTACTACTTGGAAAATCACAACTCATAGGGTGGCAGCTTGAAATAAATTGCCCATTATTATTTGTCAGATGTAAAGCAATCAAAACTTAGGGAATCCTTCATACCTTTTTCCTCCTCAATCTTATTTTGATTGTTTTTTCATATGGGTTATTTGTAAATTGTTGCACTTCATAAGACTGAGATAATCTTTTGAATACTAATCTTCATTTGTAACTGTCGTTTTGAATTCGTCTAAATCTTAGGCTTGTATAGGTGTGATTTATTTTGACAGAAATTTCTCCCGGAAAAACACCAGTTACAGAACTAACAACAACCGAAAAGTCTTGTTTTGTACGATAGTCTTAATGAATAAAAGTTGAGAACAGGATTTCAACTGGCCATTTAAGCTAATGAATATGTAATCACATTGCCTGACTCCTATTTTGTGAGCCTTCTATCAATAACGACTATTTATTATAGCTACAGGAAACAAACGGGTTATCAGAAATTACTGTCAAGAAAGGTAACACTAGGCTTCAGGAATGAAGGTAACTATATAGAAAATATGTTACTGAAACATGTGACTTCCGTCTTTCACATGAAACATTTGAAGCTGAGTTGTAATACCTTGTCGCTTTGGAACTCAGACTGTGGATTATTCCTCCTAAATAGATCTAATTTTGATTTCTGGAATAATTTCGGTCAAAAAGGTCAGTTTATTAAGTCAGTATTTTTTTATATTGGGCCATGAACACATTTTCTCTATGAGTATTAGAATTATACCAAGGATTAATTCAGGAATTCTCTCCTGCTGCAAGAAAGCACTTAACGCTTGATGCCATTCTATAAATCTTCATATAGATTGGGGATAACAGTTCACTGTAAGAACGTCATGAAAATCCGTCATCGCACAAACAAGTTTTTCAGGTTAGTAAAATTGTTTGCGTAGATATTTTAAAACAGAGAAATTCTTAACTATTGAAAACCAAGTTGTTTAAATTCGACAATGAGGGGCTAAATTATCTCAGTTTATTCACGGCTAAAATGTACGTGATCAAAGTACACATAAACACACTTCTAAACTTGTAATTTCATAATAAAAACAATGGCTTTATTATAGAATAGAAAAGTAATGGAGAAACAAAATGTAACATTCCATGATGTGATACTGTTTGTTACTTGTGTGCACTTGTTTCAGGTTAATAACTACATTATACCCATATTTCATATCTATTCATTTCCATTAGAATACACTTACACGAATAAATCGCCTACTCCTACTCGACTGGAACAGTATGCTGAGAATAGCAGCTCTCCATTCACTTCAAGCTGAAACCAACAGCATAAATAAATCATTATTATGGTGTAACCAATCATTCAAGGACCCATTCTTGATAAATAATGTCAAAACTTATTTCACAGAAGAAGAAATACACAAATCATCTTTGACCTCTGAATCAATGCCTCACCGACGTGCGCAAAGATTATACCAGCTATACAAAGAAGGTATTTTTATGGTGCATTTGTGAAAGCATTATCTTTTGGTTCAATGACTAGACGTTTGCACCGTAATGTCTCCTTTAATATATTAGTTTGTTAGGTCAAATCCACAATATGCAAATTCATTCACAGTTTTCAAGGGAGCACTACTGGTGGTAATCAACTTCTCATGTTGATCAATAAGCAGTACATGATATCATGCATTTATGCTTGCTTTCTTGATTGTGGTGAAGTTTCCCTTCAGACTGTGTAATTTCAGGATTATGGATTCAATTCAGTGTATTACCAGTGAAACGAAGTAGCTAGTTGGAATTTAGGTAGTTTAAACTGGTTTAACTTTCTGAACTTAAAAACTTCATGCAATTCTTCCCATTAATAAACTTGAACAAAGCAAGAACAACAATTGTACCAGGATAATATGAGCTCATCTTTTATTATTTCGAGGAAAAGTATGTTCAAATCTTTAATGTAATGTTATTCATATTTTTCATCGTTCAGGTTGTAACCAGTTGAGAAGAATCCTCGAAATAATAAAAGATGAGCTCATATTATCCTGGTACAATTGTTGTTCTTGCTTTGTTCAAGTTTCTGAACTTAGTCAAACTAGGTGCACCTCTCTGATGGGCTGTGCACCAAACGAGCAAAACTGCCGTCTGGTGTTTGAATCACTTTCATCTCGCTAGTAAGCACTACTCATATCGTAGTACATTGCATCACGCAATTATTTTACGGTCAGTTTGTAACAGCACTACTGTGAAATGAAACTAACTAATCTCATGATAAGTGTATTTCTTCACAAAGCATATAACGATTAATTAGTCCTCTTGATAATAAACCATTAGGGATATTCATTGTGTCGTTCAGGTCTTCCTGCATTATACCTTTATTATTTTTTGAAAGAAATCTGAAATGAATTCAGGGGAATTGTTCAACGGACTGAAATCAATTTAGCTTCAGAATAAAATCATTTATTTGATAAAGCATACAATCATACAATATTATTCACTGATAAAGTTAAGAGTACAATTTATTTTTCAAAATACTATACATTATAATCGTCATCAGTAAATAATATTGTATCAGTGTATGTTATAAGAAATAAATCATTCGATCGCCATTATTCTCTACAGAAGTGTCAAAGCCCTATTTTCATATCAAGGGTTTTCAGAAATTCGCCAGCTAGCTGTTTACTGTGGTCAGAAGGTAAACTAATATGACTTTGATGTACTTCGTGGTGTATTGTAATTTGATATCGGATGTCAGTGGTTGATCGAATTAACTGTTAACTTATCTAGAACCAGTGTGAACCAAAATGTTTTCTGTATCTATAAATATCGAACTAATATGGCTGAGATTCTATGATGAAATGACAGGCGTTAACTTCAAGCTGAGGTTTGAGAAGTTGGTGAAAAATAGTTCTCTTTTTTTTCTTAGACTCATTATTAGTGTTCTCTGTTAGGTTACATGCATCATCTAAAAGTGAGCAGTAGTTTTAGCTGTCATGTCTGAAACACTGCTTGTTCGATATATTCACATTTAAAATAATTGTAACTGATTACTTATTTAAAGTCAGTTTTGATTTCCCTATGGATTGATTCTACCAAAATATTAAGCCTCTGTTGACACCAACAGAAAAATCTAAATTGAGTAAAAAACATAGAGTAATTGTTACCCTTTGTGCATCGGTGGCACAGCGGTTAGGACGCTCGCCGACCATGCACATAGTCCGGGGTTCGACCCCCGGCCGACGCACTCCTTTACCTCGCTAAGCCAGTAATAAGACTGGTAAAGAGCGAAGGTTGGGCATGAGGCTAGTAACCCCATCCCGTGAAAATAAACATCACTGCTACTGAAACTTCAAGCCTCTAGCTTGATTCCCTATGTTCCACTTGGAACGAAAAAGAATAAAAAAATATTACCCTTTGCACAAGAGACTGATCTTACGGCTCAAGTGGTCTAGTGGATAACGCTTTCGCGTTTGAAACGAGGGGCACTGGGTTTGAGTCTCAGTGGAGACACCATCACTCACCGAGGAATGCAGGTAAATCCAGATGGTTAGTCCTAAATAGGACGGAATGCGCATCCTGAATTCCACTGCCAGTCGACATCCATCGAATTAATCGCAATTAAGATCATAGCCTCTGCTCCAAAGGTTAACCTTTTGTTTCGTAAGTGCATGTTAATATGCAGGAAGAACTTAAATGTTTCATTTCATTGTTGGCAAGTTATATACAGGTTTAATAGGTTTTTAAAAAGCATTTTGTCAGTTAATAATATTTTTTTATTTATGTACGGTGTTATAAGGGTAGTTTTTTGTACTGATTAACATGGATAAGGGTTATAGATTTTAATGACTAAGGTCACTCTAAAATTAATTCAGTTCATTTCCATTTTTCTCCAACAGAAAATTTACAAATATTAGGACTTGAGTATTCTATGCTTCACTCGCGATTTATAGAAACAAAAAACGGATAGAAATCTTGTATATTTGAACTCATTTATGACTATATCAAAAGACAAATGTGAAAACTGCTAGTGAGGTGTAACTCATGGTTTACATTTACTTGTAGTTATTCCCAATTTATTTATGTAACTGTTTTGATAGCAAAGACGAGAATCTTACTCAACAGTTTTAAAAATACTTCATGTGACGTCAGAGTGTTCATTTAAAGTTTCTTCAAAATCACAGTTGTGCATTCACTTGTAATTCAAGATGCGTATTTATAAAATATGTTGGGTAAGGATTTCCACAAAACTAATTCACCAGATAAAGAGTAGTATTATGAAGGGACATGGAATCGTCGTTGCATGGAATAAGAATGCACACTGACAGTTAACTCGACTATATCAATAAGTGTATTTTGTTTTAGCTGATACCTCGGTGTGTAAGAAAGAGAATAGATGGTTTGCAGTATTACACCGTGAGTTATTCAAAGAGTAATTTCTCTTTTATCCAAAAGCTACTGTTGATTTTCAATATAAATTCTAGGAATTATTGACAGATACCTCCATTTCCAGAAATATATAAGGCTCAATTATGTAATACTGAAATTTTTCCTTCTACACTTTCCTCATTCCTCTTGATGTGTTACTGATCTGATTAGAAAATTAGTTTCATTCAGTGACTGTCCCCAAAATCTTGATAATTAAAATTAACAAGGCAGATTTTTGTGGAGGGGCGATCTGCTAAAATAGTGTACTGATAAAGATTGTTACTAAAACTTAGTGGAATTAATTCTTGTTACTTGTATTTTCATTTTTTAGGTCTTCCTCCTACTGAACTCGTTAGACAACTTCATATCGCCTTGCTAGATGAATACAGCTGTGTACGTGAAATGGCTTGTGTTATCATCAAACAGGAAAAATTAGCTGGAGAATCAGTTATTTTGAATGAACTACTCAAGATTGTGAAGAATGATGTAAATAGCAATGTGAAATTAATGGCTTTAAGAGGTCTGTTTATGGATGGATATTTTTATTTTGAAATAGTAATAGTAATAAAATTAAAAATCATCAACAGAAAACCAGAAAATGTATCGATTGGTAGTGCCTTGAAAAATTCATACATCAAACATTCACCTGTTCTGAACTGATGGAAATTTCACCATGAAAATGGTGATATGAAGATGCACTGTTTTTAAATATGCTCAGACACTATGCGTATTGTAGAAGTAAAGTTGAGGGGTTCATTTCCGTGAAAGGAAAGCACATTAAGTTTTGTCTGAAAGTGTGAAGTGAGGATGAAAATGATAGCAATGATATAACTACTAAAACAGCAAACTAAAGTGAATTTGAAATCGAATTATAGGGGCAAACTTACACGAAGGGCATGTCACATTGAATCTCTGCTTATGTACAGCTGGCACTTTTCCTCTCTCAAGGGCTTCATACTTTAAAGCTTCAGTAGCGATGGTGTTGTTTTTAAGGAAAAAAGTCACCAGACGCCTTCCCAACCTACCCTATTTTCCGGGCTTACTGTGGGATGACCAAGGTTTACGAGTGACACAACGGGAATCGAACACAAGCCGCCCACATGGCTACAAAGCGATCTACTATCACACCACCTACATTCAGCAGAATACATATGATGGAGTCTTTTGATTTGGTGTCAGATGTCGTGGGTTGTAGTATACCTGTTTACATTTAATTCAATTTTAACCTTTTTGTTCAGTCTCATCCCAGTGATTTAACCCTCCTGGTTTTTTCCCACTCAGTGTAGGAAGGACTATTTGAGAATTTTCAGGATAAATACCAGTGGGAGATGCCAAGCAGTTATGAACTTTTAGAAATTACCTGTCATTTTTCTGTGGAGTAATTCAATATGTTTTAAGGTTTTGTTACCCGTTTATTATTGATTTCTAGTACGAATATAGTCAATGTAATCAACAGTAAAAATGTTTGTTGCTGAAGACGAAATCCGAGTATATATTGTTTTAATTCACTGTGCACGAAAATTAACATTCCGAGTCTCAGGACAAAAGCGTAGCATTATGAAATGGTGTTCAACACTACTTCCACGACTGTGGGATGCTAGAAGACCAACATACGTTAGATGGAAAAAAAGACCCTAGAAGATCTGGACTTTCTGCGTAGTGTTGCACAAACTCCAAGATCTTTTTGCGAAAATCAACAAGCTGGCTAGAGAGGCAGGCTGAGAAGACAGGACTTCAAGAAGACAGAGATAATGAAGAAACCTAATCAACAGTGGCAACAAACGTCAGTCACCGTCTACAGGAAAAATCCAAAGGGAATCATCTCTTTCACTTAATTGGCTGGAAAGTATTTTTTCAACTACAGGTGGCACAGATGAGGATGACCAAGCTACACAGGATTGTATAAGGAATATAGACCCTTATTAATCTGAAATTAGTGTGAAAATCAACCGCACTCGGTATAGAGAACAAAGAACAGCATCCCAGTTTTCAACATCAATGTCAAGACAGTTTCTCTAAATGGTTCAGAGACTTAGCGCATCAGTAAAAGCATTTTTACCAGGCTACTGCAGACTTTAATCAACAGGTGCCTTCACTCGACACTGAAGATCAGATGACCAGAGAGGATAAGCAACATGGAACTCTTACAACGAACCAACCTTCTGGTCAAAAAGTATGCAGGAGGTAACGGAGATGGACTGGATATGCAATAAGAAGACCTTTGAGTGACATCAAGTGCCAGTCCGGAATGGAAAACCAGTGGTGAGATGGGCATCCGAGAGTGACACGAATGAGATCGTGTGATGAGAACAGAAGAGCTTATATGCAATCGTTCAGCTAGCTAAAGAGTACTTCAGAGAACAGGATGAAGTGGGGATGTGCTGTAGAAGCCCTACATTTTTTTTCTTTCCTTTACGTTCCCAGTGGAACATAGGGCTTCAAGCTAGAGCTTTGAAGTTTCAGTAGCAGTGGCATTTATTTTTGCGGAGTGGGGTTGCTAGCCTCATGCCCAACCTCACGTCTTTACCAGTCTTATTACTGGCTTAGCGAGGCAAAGTACTGAGTCGGCCGGGAATCGAACCCCGAATCGCATGCGTGATTGGCCAAGCATTCTACCCCTATGCCACCGACTCACTATAGAAGTAGAAGGCGTATGTTCCACTCGAAACCCAATAATAATAGTGGTATGATAAACGTATGTCTTCATGTAAAATCAACGTAACACTGCTGATGGTCAGTACACGGAATTCGGTCAAGTAATTATAATGGTTTCATTCCAAGATCGGTTAAAGTTAGATGTAGCCTGTTGACTGTTTTAATCATCTACATATGACAGTCACTAGCTGGTCTATTTGGGAATCCAATTGCGTAGTATATATTATGCGTATATATATATGCATAAACACTATTTATTTTTCTGGTTTTCCAGCACTGAAAACACTATCAAGCTGTAAAGTGAACAGTACAACTTCAGAATGTATTCAGAATCAACTATGTGATGTTGTTCAGTGTGAAATGAATTCATATATTCGACAAAAACTATTTCATCTTTTACTATGGTTTATAGAAACACGTTTTATCACATGTGATACAACTGATCATTTAAATAGCCATAAAATTGATTTATTAGCAAAAGAATCACTACTCAATGAGTATAATTCATTAATCGAAAAGTCAATTGACTTCAATAAATTATTTGATATACAAGATGATGTAATTCGCTACATTTTGAATTCTCATGATCAAAGTGACTGTTCATCACCATCACATCATCACATAAACTATACTCGAATGCTATACGTGAAGCATTTATTCCAAATTACGACAAATCTATTAATAATGAAAGAATAAATCAAATGAAACTGCATAAATTACCCTGTGAATTCTACTTTTTGTATAATTCATTGAAAAATTCTGTAAAGTATGACCAATGTGAAGAAATTCGAAGGTAGATTTCTCATGGATTTAGAAATTTTCACAAGTGTTTAAAAAGATCTATGAGGTTATTTGTATTCTACATTTTGATTTAGTTAGTAATTAAATGTGTCTAGTCCTCTGTTTGGTGCAGACTGAATTCTATCAGTCAAGTTTGCAATGTTCCAGGCCTAGAGTGATTTATCTCTTTTGATATACAGATTCTTTTATGACGTACTTTGACTGCATAAAATAAATCTCAGCATATATCTTGCTGAAAAAAGCTATTGTGTGAGATAAATACATAAATGAACCATTGCAAATGTCACCCAGATCCACAGTATAAGATGGTGATCGCATACGATGAGGGCACTAGGACTGATGTATCATAGGAAATGCAATGTGAAGTCAAGCAGAATATAAGTAGACAATTTATTCGAATCACCTAAAATTGTTCACTGTGACTCTTATCTTTCATATTAATTTGTTCATTAGATACATCACACAGTAAAACAGTATTATTTACTGGATGACGTTTCGAACACAATTTATTGTTCATAATCGTATCAGTTGTTAATAAACAACTTCCATAATAAATGGCAACACAATAAATTGTGTTTGAAACGTCATCCAGTAAACAATACTGTTTCACTGTGTGATATATCTAATAAACAAATTAATATGGAATGACGTACTACCACAGTGATATAGTTTTACGCATATATTAGTGTGACACTTGTTTGTTATTGATGTTAATAGAAACTGTTGAACACTGCAAAATACTGAGAAGAGTCTCCATGATAATTAAATGGCTAATCAGACATTTTCAACCTGTTTGTATGAAATCCGTTAAAATAAGATTCTAACTGACTGCTTTTGTTATCATGGCAAATTTTCAATCTGCTTTCGGTATATATATATATATATATATTCAAAATAATAAATATCTCCGTAGCGTTGTTCTAAATACAAATATTCCATACTGAGGAGAAAGGCTGACTAAGAATTAGGCAATTCAAGTATTGGTTTGTAGGGATTTGATTGATTGGTTATAGGATTTCATCATGAACTGGCATCAGTTAGAGAACCATTGGAAAACCAGCTGGGAGTACTGGACAGCTGTTCCGTCCTAGTTTGGAACTCTTCAGTAGTACGCACCCACCGACAGGGTTCGAACCCAGCACCTTCTGGTTACAAGGCGAGCTCGTAGACCATTAAGCCACTGGGACCCGATCCAATGGACAGTCAATGATTTCCAACTTTTGCAAATTCATGACATAACGCGACCGCTAGCCAATGTCTTCGGAGAGTATTTGTCCTCACACTCGACCTGATGTACCCTACTGGTCATGAATTCCCACTAGAACCCCAGATAATTACCTACCTGAATCGGGCCAGTCGCTAGTGAGCATCTCATTGACATTTAAGTGTTGGTTTGTAGGAATTTGATTGATTGGTCAATAACTTTGTTGGTTATTGATTGCTGGCCCACTTGGAGCTTATTTCAAATCCATTTTTATACGTGTTACAAAATTCATACAAATAACTGCACGAAATCTATTGAAGCTGTATGAGTTAATGAATAACAACTATAGAGCTTTGGGTTTACAGGACTGGGATTGAGATAACTTTGCCATGCGATTCCTAGTCCTAGCTGGCCCCAGGTTAAGACATTACTCTACTCTGAGGCTTGTCAAAATCTGCAGGTAACCTCATGAAAATAATTTTGATGTTCTTTAGTACTTGTTTAAATGTTGTGAGTATTGCCATTGAACATATGGTTTAATTTTAAATGCATACTGCAATGTCTTGGAAGCGGTCCATGTGTAAGAACCCAGGAATTTCTATTAAAATTTGTTATTTGCTTGCACGAAGGTGGTGTATTTCTAACATGATCCAACATTAGAATTTGCATTGGTTGCCACGTCGTTGTTATCCATTTGAATCAGAATACGGAAACCTTTCCATACGTTTGACCACTTTCCTCAGATCGATGCAAAACTGTGTACACAAGTGCATCATTCCTGGTAGTCTGTCACACTCACAAGATAAGGGATAACAACGTAAGTATACTTCAGTGGACAAACTTGAGTGCAAGAGCCAAATGACTAAATGAAGAGCCAATACGTCTAGACCGTTGTAAACTATGTTGAACGATGTCGACACTAGTCTTTAACCAATTACTGACTTTTAACATCCGAGAAATTAAGAGTACAAACTGCACCTACTTAAGTGACTCATACTAATACTCAAAAATGTCATTAATCGGTAGTGAGTTTTGGTTCTGTCAACCTTAGCATCTTCTATCCTTATTCTACACTAGTATACATTCTTTTTATTGACTTTGTTGGGGTTCATATTGTATAACACATGTCATAGCCATTATTGTTGAGCACTCGATAGCTCGTCGATTAATTCACTTTCCCCCACAATGCTAGATTGCACACACCACTCTTTGATAGTTGGTCTGACGTATTACCAATGTCCAAGGTTACATAGTTCGACAAATGTCCTGAGATAAAAAAAAAAATCAATAATCAGTAATAAACATGCTGGAATTTCATTATCCTCTACTTCTGAAAGGTGAACTCCCACTAAAGTGATTTTAATGAATAATTTAGGATTCAAATAATATAAATTTGACTGAATATATTTATATTTATGGACGGACCTAACAATTATCTTTCTTCTGTTTTCAACATTTCAGTGAATTATCGGAAATGATAGAACCAATATTTTTGCAGGTATTGGAAAGAGCAAGTGAAAATGCCCCTGAAAACTGTTTTTACTCATATGACAATGATTCTGACCTGTTACGTGCATTAATCAATGAAAAGTGTAAAGATTTGGTTAAAATATGTTATGATATTATTCAGTACTCCTAAAACAACACTTTGTTCTAACTTAGTGTTCACAGAAAGATAATTAATTTTGAGATTAATAATATTTTGGCGTTAGTTATTACTCACCAATGTACAATAATTATTGTCATTTTGATGTATTTATCTTTATTTTTACTACTGTAACCATGGAGTCTTTCCTTTTGTTTAAATATTAGTTTTCCTTTAGTTATAACATGAAATTAATTTTTTCTTATTCATTATTAAAGTGGTCAGATTTCTAGTAATCTGAGGAATGCAGTGCCTTAATAAAAAGAATTATCTGGTTGGAGGATTTCATCATGAACTGACATCAGTTAGAGAACCATTGGAAAACCAGCTGGAAGTACTGAACAGCTGTTCCATCCTAGTTTGGGACTCTTCACAGTACGCACCCACCGACAGGGTTCGAACCCAGCATCCTCTGCTTACGAGGCGAGCTCGTAGACCATTAGGCCACTGGGACCCGATCCGGTGGCCCATGAATTATTGGTAAATGAACTGATTCTGAGATAATAGAGAATATTTGTAGTTCATAGGGGTGATAGGAAGGTACTGATATCTACAAGCTAGATGTTTTCATGTACACAGTTTATTTGTCGATTCTGATATCAGGATGAGGTGAATTATAAGTATTTCAATATGTCTGGATTAGTGGCTTTTTATTGTGACTTCAGAGTGCTTATTTCTAAAATTTTCAAATATAGTTTTTCAGGGATTTGATTGGTTACAGGTTAGCTGATGGGATGACATCAGTTAGAGAACCATTGAAAAACTCTTTAGTGGTAGACATCCACCGAGGTTCGAACCTGGAACTTGCAGAATGTCAGGTTAGCTCACTGACTATTCAACCAATGGGGTTTCGATCCAATGGCCCATGAATCACAACTTCTACCAACACTTGAAAATTAATGTAATTCTCACTGGTAAATGGCTCTATTTAAGAAGTTACCTGGAGTTATTTTGGGAAGTTGTGACTACCGGCATCCATCATGTAAGGCAATGGAACATCTGCTCGCCTATGACACTGGCTGACGGTTGTGCCATATATATTTCTAAAATTGTCTTATTTTTTCTGTTATGTGTGTGGACGTAAGGGTCATATGGTTATTTGAAAGATTAGGAACTTACTGAAGACCAATCATGTCATGAAGACGATAGCTTGAATTTATTATCTGGTTTCTAAAGAAGGTTCCAGGGATATGAACGGTGTTTTCTACTGTCACCATGCATCTACATTTTCTTGGAGAATCGTTTCGTTTGAAATGAAAGAAATAATTGCGTACTGATGAATTCAGGATATGAAAACGAAAGACACTGCTTGTTGGCAAACGGTTATTCAGAATAAGAATTGTGCAAGCTGATTTGCATCTAAAAGGTAAATAGCTTAGTTCAGCCACAATCACCAGAAAAAACGAGGTACTTTGGGAAAATCTAAAGCATTTTTGATATTCTTATTCAACGGAAAGTCCTTTTCTAAGCAAAATTAGGTTTTAGTTTTCCATCGTTTAGTAAACGTTAACGCAGGCGGTTATTAGTGGTGTCGTTTTAGCCTAGTAATTATGGTTCTGAGAATTCATAGATACAAATGTTCCACATACTTTCTGGTTGCTCAAGTATATATACTGTTCCAATCAAGTACTGATCTCGTAACATTTAATGTATATGATGTATACTGTTGAAACCTGACAAATGTGGATGATTAATATTTGAAGTTGGATTCAATACAAAAATGGGTACAACGTACTACAGGCTTTGTGCAGTTTGTAACTGTCAGTTATTTGTGCCGTACTTCTTCAATCTTAAGTTTCGTCAGAGGTTTACCTATTTGTGACGAGAAATTATTTATAGATTGCATGATGAATAATAAAATTATTACTAGTAGTTCTTTAATGTACTAATGATTGAAGCATCATCTTCTGAATATCACTAATCTCGTCCTTTAAATATTTCACAACTAATCAAACAAAAACCCTTCACCTCATTGTACTTAGAGAAAGTAAAACATTCCACAGATCCTTTATGAAACAAGAGAGATTTGTAGCTCAAGAGGATTAACAGACCTTAGAGTAGACAGTGACGGATAAATGAATAAAGTAAATTGTGCAAACAATATTTGAATTTTGCAGTCACCACAAATTT